GCCAAGACCTCACTCGTTCGGTTTTATCAGGATCTACTGACACCCCGTTAGAGTCTACGACATGACCCAAATGAACCACGGAATCTCTAAATAACTGACACTTTGACCCGTTTAGTTTGAGATCGAATTGTTTGAAACGACTGACAACTTTGTCAAGTCTCTCAATGTGGCTGTCAAATGTGGCAGAGTAGACTAACAGGTCATCTAGATAGAGAATCAGCTCCGACAGGTTCAGATCTCCGAAAATGTGTTCCATTATTCTCTGAAACGTACTTGGGCTGTTGATGAGACCCTGGGGAGGACGTAAAAATTCATAGAGTCCCCAAGGTACCCTATCTTATCAATAGAATCTTCTTCCATGGCTACTTGAAAGAAAGAAAACACTTTAGCGCCACCAAGAGCTTCTAGGGTCTCGTCTATCCTCGGCAATGGAAATGAATCTTTGGCTGTCTTCGCGTTTAAGCACCTGTAGTCAATACATAATCTGAGTTGGCCACTTTTCTTACGCACAAGAACGATGGGACTCGCGTAAGGACTAGATGATCGACGTATTATGCCCCTATCGAGAAGATCCTGAAGCAGGGTCTTCACTTCTCCAACCTTAGAAGGTAATATTCTCCGATAAGGGAGGTTCACTGGAGTATCATCGCTCAGCCGTATTTTGTGAGGGATGATGTCACAATAACCCAAATCAAAGGGCCCGGCTGAGAAAACATCGATATACTTTTTAATTAATTCCGCTGCCTTAATATAGCGTCTTCTGGTGCCAAGTGTTTAAGGGTAAGACCAGGAGGCATGACCACATTGGTGCCGTCTGGAAAAACAAAGGTTTCCCTATTTTGGCTATCTGTCAGTGCATCCTCTTTTAACTCATGCTCATTGCAAGGCAAATTGCTATCTATGGAGTCATTCGGTTCGTTTTCTTCGCGAACACTGGCTACAACACGGTGTACTGACACGTAAAGTCCATCCCCATCCTGCTCAAGGAAAATCTGCTCCTCAGTATTAATTGCAGATAAAACTGCTACCTGAGTGAGCGCCGGGATAATCAAGGGCTCTGCACTAGCATTTGCTATATACACGTTAATATTTGCACCGTCAATTTGTCCGACGCCTTCAAGCACCTGACATTTGGCCAATGAACCATCTTCGTTACCTGACTTTACTTCTCGGAAACTACCATTGTTAGACAAGCAAAGAGGAATGCTGCTCACTAAAAACTCCTTGTTATGCAACGAATTTAAGTTGTGGTCATTCAACATACACATGACACTAGCCACGGTTTGTGGGGGCACAACAACACGTTCACACGTGTACACGTCTGCTGACGTGTACTCTGCGGTATGCAGGTCATCAACCAATACTGCGGTTTGCAACCAACGGAGTGCTAGATCCCAGTCTGGATCTAGCTGAACAGACCCATTTATCTTCGAATTGGCTGCAATTCGCCTCAAAATGTTACAGCCAAGTATCACGGGGCAATAGTTTCTCTGGGAGACGTTAGCGGATGCTGCCGTCTCTCTAGAAACTAAGAAAGTAGCCTTAAAACTTTGGCCCAAAACGTCTAATGAGGTCTCTATGTAGCCTTCTACTGGGATTTCGAGATCATTGGCGCCCATCAGTTTGATGAGCTTGCCCACGGGCTGTAATTTCCCCAAGGTGTTTGCTACATGTTTTTGATAAAACTGGCTTGACAGTAAAGAGACCTCAGCGCCTGTGTCAAGCAAACACTTTGTGGTGACCCCATTCACGATAACAGTTGCAGTAGGGCATTTACCGAGGAGCCTTTTACGAATCTCGGAAGCGGAAAGATTGACACTCCCGGCCAGTGGCTCATCCCTTTCAATAACAGAATTAGAAACAACTGAAATATCGGGTACAAAGTCCGTGGGTAAAAATACGGTATGAGCCTCCGTTACACTGCCGTCTGCGACGGAGGATCCACGTTTCCCGAGGTATGGCCTTCTGCGCCCTTGCCAGCATGTTCTACAGGCTTTGTATTTTCGATTCGCTTTCGCTTGTAGCAATTTTCAGCAGTATGCCCCGGCCTGTTGCGGAATGAGCATTTGACCACAGGCTTCTTAGGCCGCTGTGAAGTTAGCAAGTGCTTCACACCATCACAAATGACTTTTATGTCTGCATTCATCGAGGTCTGCTGCGCTACAAATTGCTGTACAGAAGTAACAAGCTGTTTTTGGTTCTCTAGAACTTCAGAAAGCGCTTTGCTATCGGGTACTGCGGCGGCCCTATAAGCAGTTGCAGTTGCAACATCAGAGTCATCAGGCGCCGAATTATTGGGGTGTGACTGTTCCGTGGTAGGAAATAATTCCAACGCAAACTCACGCAGCTCACAAAACAAGATATCGGCCCGGCTGTGACAGAGTTTTCGCAATTCTCGCTTGACTGAAGTATCCTCCACACCTTTCATGAATTGTTCTTTCAAGGTGCTTTCTCGAAGCTGAGCAAGTGCATTTTTCTCTTGCGCATTTACTGCAGCGGCTTCGATCCGATCATGCAACCGAATTAGTACACGACTGTAATCTGTAAGGCTTTCACCTTGCAACTGCATTCGGCCGTACAGGGTTCTTGTCAAGGATTGAACGGACTCTGGAGAACCGAACCGTTTTTTCAGCAGCGCGGTAAGCTTATTGAAATCATCCCTTTGTTGGTTAGGGGTACATAGCACTTCTTCCTTGGCAATCCCGCCCAAGTAATCTAAGGCAGTACTCAATTTTTCCCCATCTCCAAGTCCAACTTGCCTACAATATGTCCCGATATCGGCCAACCACTCATGTATGGTCTGATCCCCAGCTCTAGTGGGAGGCCCACAAAATTTCACCAGTCGTACTGTGCTGACTCGCTGGTACTTTAAATTCTGAAATGCCCCTGCAAGAGTGTCTGCGAGAGCTTGGTTCGATTGCAATATGGCATCAGCCACATCTGCAGGTAAGGCCATGATGCAAATATCAAATTGTCAGGACAATACGGTAAGCAAGTGAGGAGATTCAAGTCACACCGAACAGTAATATAATTTAAAAAGACTAACACATGTGTGGCATCTTCATTGTGTACAAAAACATGTAAAATCGCCAGTCAATCACACAGTGTATCATTCATTGTCCATAAATACCAATGTGAATCGTGTAAATAAAATATCAATGGGACCACAAACACAAATAACACGACCTGATATTCTACATGTAACTCCAAACCATGTGCCAACTTGCACGACGGGCTAAAATTGAAACTTGAACAAAGCTTAAAGCTTCTTCAAATAATCCCAATTAAACTCTTAAAACACATTTTATAATGAACAAATCTTTGATACAGCCCTATAATGATAAGTTCGGACTAAATTTGACACTAGGGGTCTTGTCTGGAAGTGGAAAACGGCATGTCATCCGATCCTCGTCGCCATTTTGTAGTAGCTGGGAAGCCACATATCAAGGGTCGCCTCGTCGGCAGGCCTCGCCGTTGTTTTATTCAACAGATGACATGACAAATGACAAGCTTCGGATCTATCTCTTATCTAGCTTTATTATCCCGAAGACAAGACTTCTTTCAGTAGAAGTAAAAACCCTGAAAAATTACAATAAGTGAGGTGACAATTAAGTTTCTAACAAAGTAATCGGTCTGATTTATAAACATTATTAAATAATGTTTTATACAGATAAACCTACCCCAGTGCCTTTGGCTTCCTTTATTTAAGGATACACAAAAACAGCACAGCTCACAGCTTGGAGAGAAAGCCCTCGAACTGGTCTACACGTCGCAGACTTGGTATGTCTGGCTATGCTAGGCTCAGCCAACAGGAAAGTAATCGTCCAGCACTTCAATAATAGTACGCCAAAACAGCGTTATCTCTCTGCGTCTGCCGCATGCACTGGCTTTTGTGCGCTGTGTCATATAGGTCTCAATGTATACATTTGCCACGCAATGTATACATTTGCATCCAAAAAGTATGGCGTGCTTAAGCACGGGGTGACAAAATACGTTTTGATGATTTTCAAATTATTATGAATCGCCACACAAATACCTAAATTGCCTACTTTTTTTACGCGTGAAGTGAAGATACCCTTAAATATTTTGATCGTTCGCTAAATTCAACTGGGTTTGAAAATGCTATCGTGTTTATATTCGAATTTTAAAGAAAGTGTTCGAATATTAAACGGGCAAATTGTGCAATTTGACGGGGAAAAAAGCTATTGGAATGCAGAATTTGCTGGTTTAAAAACTCGCATTATGCTTTCAAAAACTATTCAGTCGCTTTATAGTGCCTTAAAAATCCATACATTTGGGCGAGGGAGGAATTGTGTTTGAATAAATTGAACGGTGATTTCAGGCAGCATTTAGTTTCCCGAGAAATTTCACATAGCCACATTAAAACATGTTGTTTTTCTGGAGGTATTCGGCCAGGAAAATACTGGTCAAATAATAGTTTGTCTATAATTTACAAGTGTGTAATTGTTCCTGTTTTCGAATGATGATTTATAAAAATGAAAAAAAACCTCACAGTTTAATTAAAACCAATAATAACATTATTTCATTCCTTACTCAAGTATAAACGTTACCGGTTTTCTTTGTTCTTTTTTTTCAGCCTACACTGAACTCCTTGTGGTCTCTTCTTGGACCTGATCTTTAAGTCTTCAAAAGCAAACCATCGAGGTCGGTGTGATGATGTTTAATTGATTCTATCATGACCGTGGAAAGGGCGTGCCGTCCCCATAGAAAAAAATAATGAAATTCGGTCTCCTTTACAAACTTTTATCTGCGGGCAAAACAATAATACTAACAAGTATGGATTGCCCGTAGTTGCCATGGCAACAGATTTAAAAAGAACCCATCTTTTTATTTACTTGTTATCCCCTTGCTCTCGGATAGGCCACTGCCGACACATTCTCTGAATAATGATTCCTCCAAATTATGTCTCGTATACAAATTCTTCAGTTTATGTAGTGATTTTGTTGGTAATTTTAGGCCCTGTATTGTTTTCCTTTCAGATGAAGATCTGCGTGGCCACCATTCTGTCAATCGCCTTCCTTCTGGGTAACTCTGTCAAGCTCCGAGCTTCCGTTACTGGGCCGGTTCCCTCGGATGGCGATGGTCCTGCGTCTCAGGTGTGTCAGCAGTGCTGCCAGGGACCTGCTGCAATACCCGGCATACCAGGTCTGCCTGGCCCAGTTGGACCGATGGGGCCGTACGGTCAGCCGGGGTCAAAGGGCGATGCAGGTCAGCAAGGTGAGATTGGCACTATTGGACCTATGGGTGAGCGGGGAGCACCTGGGAACACTGGGTCTAAAGGTAATGATGGGATTAGTCTGCCCGGCAAGATAGGTCCGAGAGGGCTACCTGGTTTTGTTGGAGGAACTGGGGAAACTGGTGTCAAAGGTCAGAAGGGTGAGCCAGGGGAGACACCAGACGACTCCAACCAGCGGGTCGCATTCACCGTGGTCAGGACGAGCAGCTCTGATACCTCTACGAGTCACGACACCCGTTTGCCATTCCAGCAGGCCGAGACGCTTCTGCCGGGTACCAGCTTCGATCTCGAGACCGGTTCGTTTACCTGTAGTGTGCCGGGCACCTACGTATTTACGTTTTCTGTTCTTAAGTATAGCAACAGCGATGGCCTTGCCATCCATCTTGTTAAAAATGACTACACGGTGATCAGTACCCATGGTACATCAAATCAACTTGGTCAATTGTCTGGTAGCGCGGTGCTGGTTCTGCAACGAGGAGACACGGTGTATGTTGCCATGTACGGTAGGGTGCAAAGTGGTTCCATCTCTCACTACACCTCATTCAGTGGCTTCCTCCTTTACCCGGAGTCATTCAATTAATTAATAAATAATCACCACGCATAAATATACAGGAGCTGTGTTCCCACCCCCCCCCCTTCAACATTTTCTTTGTTTTTTTTTTGGCCGAAACAATGACCAATTATTTAACAGAAATAATGTTCAATGTAATAATAATAAACAAAATGTCTGCTATTGGTACCATTAACAGGCATGATAAGAATTATTAATTTTAATATATATGTTCAGCGTTGATATATCAAAACAGTTTACAAAACATCAACACTCCTTTTTTAAAAATCATTAAAAATAAGATAAAAATAAAACTCTCATGTTTAGAAAGAAATATTTTAAACTGTTATTGAAAAAATCCAAATTCATAAATATTTCTCAATTAAGCTGGAAGTCTGTTCCCCAGATGTATACATGGTAAAAGCACAATCCCTGTGTCTTGGTAGGCTTTGGACAAACTTTAGAGTGGCTGAACTGAACCCCGTCGCAGCTTTTAGTGCGAATGTTAAACTCATGAACTGATCTCAACTCGACGGATTATTCTGAAAACTAACAAAAGATCTTGAATTCAACCCTTACCGTATTTATAACTGGGAGCAAATGTAGTTACTGAAGTATGGATGCATGTCCGCTTAACGATCTATCCTTCTTGGGATAACCAGTCGGACAGCAGCATTCTAAATCTGTTGTCATTTTTTAAGCTGGTAATCATATGAACCAATAAATAAGAAATATAAATCAGGTCCTATAATCTAATCGGGAATTTAGATGCATGGTTGAATAAATTATGTACTTCTTTACATTTGCACTGCACAGTTCCGTATAGGCAATACATTTACAAGTTTGAGTGCTCGTTATAATTAGCTTTTCGTAGAAAGGTTTGAGAAATATTAAACAAGTATGCATTAAAATTGTTGACAACAATTATATTTGTATCCACTGTGGCATGAAATATTGTTAATAGAGTTTTAATAACAATGTGAACAAATAAATTATTTAAGAAAATATGTTATTTGTTCACTTTGTATGTGAACATGCATAATAAGTAATGACGATTGAAAAACGTACATATTTCTGCACCGGTTGGGTTATTCTTAGGTGGGTGGAGACTCGCCCCGAGTCATTATTTAAATCTTGGAACGATTTTGTTTATTGCTGAAAAATGTATTAATTTGAATTTCACCGCAGAAGCGAATGTATTGTATATAAATGAGTGACGTTACGTACCTTTTTCATATTACGAACCACGGCATATATCAAAGTGTAGACCTTTTTAATATAAAATGCTTTGTTTCTGAAAAACTGTATGCATCCACTTTTTTAAATTAGAGTTTAGTTCAAGCTCGAACAAGCTTTGTGTTTGAACTGTTTTGTTGCTATATTAATAGTTTTTGGAGTGGTTCATAATTAGATGTCACTTTGTAGAGATATTTGGCTGTTTCCGACTCTGTTTTTTAGTGCACCAAATTTTCACAATCAGAATACGCAATTATTAAAGTAATGTTATGAATGTATTGTATTTTTTGAAAAGGTTTTACAGATGTTTGGAAAGTTTAAAAAGAGTACTGTTGTGTTTATGGGTCCTTTCAAACCAGTAAATAATGGAACGAACTCACCGAGTCTTCACACGAACTTGTGGCATGGGCGCCGCCATTTTAATACACACTGTAACTCATAGAACGTGTAGTTGGTGTCTCTCACAGAACGTATGGACATACGACAAGAACGTGACAAAAATTCCTTTAGTTATAAATTTTTGCAATGTGCACGAACTAACAGTTTTATAAACAGCTCAAATTTGAACTGCATTGAAGCATTTTTGCTTTATTTTTTTAGATCTCTTTGATAATTTGATCTTTGCAGTATTTAAAAAGAATATAGCAAAGTCAACATGTGCCTTCTGGAAGTAGCATAAATATTTAGATGAACGATGCTGCACTTAAAACAGTCAAATATGTAGAATTGTGTGCATTGAATGGTTTGTTTTAATAGCATTGTAGCTTTGGTACATCGATCGATAGGAATACATCACACCCATGGGCGTAGCACGGTCATTTTTATGGGGGGGGGGGATTAACATTTGTTGATAAAGGCACTTGCACATTCGTTGTGAAATGTAGACAGGTGTTTTCTCCGGACACTTGGCTGGTACCATCTGTCGATGGGGGCGGTGTTCAAAACCGACAATTATGCACACAAAGGGCCAATATATGGTGCTTTTCAGGGCGGATACATGTGCGAAATTCCGAAAAAGGCACCCAAAACGGCAGATGCCGCAAAACAAAGGCACCACTTCTTTTTTGAAAAGGGCACTTGTTCAGAAAAGGGGGGGGGGGGGGGTAAGTCCGTTAAAAAAGGCATGTAAGTGGTAAAAGGCAGTTTTTACAAAATATTGGGGGGTAAATATCCCCTTACCCCCCCCCCACGCTGGCTACGCCTATCACACACATATATAGCGATTTTTGATATACATTTTCAACAATAAAAATTATCGTGATGGATTGTCAAATCCCACCCCATCATTTTTATACAAAATTAAATAAACCATGTTTTTTTTTTGCTTTATTGATTACAAATTAAAAGCTCAAGATTTATATTGATAATCAGGTTGTTGAGATGTGTCCTATTATCAAACAAAGCGGCCCTTTTTCACTTTAGAGAACAAGAAGTAAAGAAACTTAAATGAAATCGACCTCGGAAATCAACCCAAAACACGTAAACGTAGTGAATATTTAGTTTATTACAGCCCCATCTTTTTTTTCCCCTGGAGTTTTGCCCCGAAGAAAATATTGCTTTAAGGCTACAAAGGTTATTCACTTGTGAATAAGCCGCCGACCAAAACAATCGGCCCACCTTTAGTCTTTTGTTTGTAAAATACGCTTCATAACCTGGAACTTTAGACATTTCTAGTTTATATTTATTTAATTTGTAGCCTGACATTTATTTGTTTCTTGCAGTGTACAATGCATAGTCCTCACCTCCGTTTTTTTAGGCTTGATAATATAGGAAACCCGAACCGGTCTACTAGCAGCAGTGTAGCCAGAGTTCCCACCATGGGGGATTGGTGGTACAAGATGTTATTCCAGTGGGAGGGAAGGGGGGGGGGCAAAATTCTGTTATACCTCTTAATCGCATGGTCATTTATTGGAATTAATTATTTCCGAGGGGGGGGGGGGGGACTGCGGGACATTATGTTCTACTGGTGCGTGTAAGCCCAAGTACCTTACACCACCCGACCCCACCTGGCTACGCCGCTGTCTACCAGCAGGGCAGATTAGATATATCTTTTAAGCAAATTAAAGCGGCCACGTCAATTGGGAAAAAAACTATTATTTTAAAACGAATACAATAGACTATATGACTGTTGTAAAATCAACTAAGTATCCTCTTCCTCTTGATGGAAATATTAATGGAAAGGAGAACAACAGAACCCTGGCATTAAATAAACGCCCCCCCCCCCACTTCTTGATGCCACCTTACCGTAAATTTGGGGTATTGGGTATCCGCCGTAGGCTGCCCAGGGTGGTCAGGAGGTAGAGGGATGCATAGGCGTAGGCAGCGGTGGGGGGTGATTTACTCCCGCCCCCAATATTTTGTAAAGAGTGCCCTTTTCCATTGAAATGCCCTTATTTCACCACCGCTTACCACCCAATAATTTGTAAAGAGTGCCCTCTTTGTTAAGTGCCCTTTATAAAAAAGAAGTGGTGCCCTTTTTTGTGTGATATACCGTTTCGGATGCCTCTTTTTTTAAAAGCACGCCTGTATCGCCCAGAAAAGCACCATTTTATTGTCGGTTATAGTGTTCATAATTGTCGGTTGTAAACAGCGCCCCCCTCGACAGATGGTACCAGCGTAACCACCAACCCCTCCCCCCTGCTTTTTGATTTTACGGCGGCTAAATGTCCGGTGAAAAAATGTGTCTATATTTCACCACGGATGTTCGAAAACATTTTAACCCCCGACTCAATAAATATGACCGTGCTACGCCACTTTTTGCTTTGGCTATTGAATGTTGGGATTTTGATGAGGAAAGAGGTATGTTGTATACGGTTGGTTCCAAACAGTTGGGTGAATTTGGGATTAGGTGTTGGTTGGGCAAGTGTCAAGATTGGGGTTGGCATATTTCTGTGTTTGGTTTTGGCATAGAGGTCTTGTTCAATAAGCAGAGAGGGGGTTTTGCAGGTGCAAGGTCAATTGCATGCCGAGAAGGTGGTCTGTTCGAGCGCGCGTGTGGATGGGGGTAGATCAATGATTATAATAAAGTTGCCTTTGGGATCGAATGGGATGCGCAAAATAAGTATATTTTCACCGTTAGAGGGCGGCAACTGTACATGAACCGGATATTATGCACACACAGTATATTCACGTTCTTTTTTTTCTTTTTTCTTTTCAAGCTAAATTCATTTCATCTTCACTTTGTTATCATAAATATAGACTGCATAACCTGACTACAAAATATATACTTGCCACCAAATGCGTGGTTCCATTAAAATCACGAAGCGCAAAACAAACACTGATTAAATCACTTAAGACCGGTGTACGTCATTATTCTATCCACCAATCAGAGTTAGTCACCCAACAAGTCGGTGACCACAAGTAAGTGGTCTGTGATTGACAGATGCCAATCACAATCCATATATTTGAATGTGTCACCGACATTCATACGATCATTCCACTAATTGGATGTGTATATTTGAGTGTCGGTGATACAAGCTTCGGGTTTAACGTGTGGCAATGTAACATCATTTTCGTCTCATCAACATGAAGCGGGTCAGTGATGTGTGATTGACAGCGTGCAGGGGCCAATCGCAAACCGGGCATGCAAGTTCCTCAGTCACTGCTCGGGAAATCGACGTCAATATTTAAGTCACAAGCTGCCGGCTCATTCCTCACAACGACCGCAGCTCATGTCCACTTCCAGACGACAACCCGAGAGAACTGTTTGCAAGATCGAACAAGAATTGCACGGTGAGTGTTTGAAACAGTCTTTTACGATAATTCTGCAAACTTTGGGATTGATCTTTTGTGATACATGATATTGACACAATGTGCTTATAGCCAAAACAGTGCGCTGTA